ATTGAGAATGCCTTGAAGTTACTTGTAAGTAGTTTTTTTTAAGATAATTACTTTTTGATGCCACTTCAGAGATGATTCTTAATATTTCAAACTTGAGACTATTATATATTATAGCAAGAGCTACACTACGTATTTCAGACATCTACCTATAAAGCTACACTTCTTTGTTAAGAAAAAATCTTTTTTTACTACTGCCTTCAAGATGACAGGATTTGCTACGATCAATCTTATCAAGTTTATCTTTTAACTTCATTATCTAATGACCAACTTGAGTCTTATCTAAATCAAACTTGGTAGCAGCTCTAAGATTGCCTTTATAAAGAGCATACCAAATGACATTGACTTTCTCTTTAAAGATATAAAACTGACAAAGCTTCTTGATAATTTCTTGAGACATTTTAAAAAAAGTTGACCAAATTTTTTTTCTTAATTATAACTGCTTTATTTATATATATTAGGCCAAGTTTTTTAAATAAGGCAAACATCAATATGACCTTTAATCATTATGTATATAACTTCTATTTTTATAACAGTTCTCAACTTCAATTCTATATTGATAATAGTGCCCAATGTTGTCATTTCATGAACATCTCCCATTTAGAACAGTTCTATAAAGAAAAAAAAAAAGAAAAAAAAATTGGGGTAAAAGTTTTCTTTTTTTTTATTTTTTATTTTTATTTTTATTTTTTTTTTTTATTTTTTGCTTGAATATTGTCTGTTGTATATACTAGGATAATCTTTATAACTAATAACAGCATTTAAAATAAATAATGCTTGCCCCATAATATTGGTACAATAATTCTGCTTTAGTAATATTTTCTTAAGAAACTGACTTGAATAACAGCTTTGGAAAAATAATTTTAAAAAAACTAAATTTATTCTCTAAATGACATATTCTTATCAGTTTTGTATTATGTAAATATTTGTTTGGTTCACTCAATAATACTGGTACAATATAATTTTGCACCAAAAATGATTTTAAAAAGGCATAAAAATAAGCATTTATATCATTGTTCATTTCATGCAAAAATAAAACTTAGAACGTAAAGAAGATCTACATAAATATGAAACATCTTATATATGCAATCAGTTAACTAATCAAATCACTATATTTCTTATTATTTGATTGGTGCCAATCTATCATGTAATTTTGGTAAGATTTTGATTGGACCCGAATAAAAGCTACTCCCACTATTTAGCCCAAGAAAATCAAAAATTTTTTGGTAGCTTCTATTTAGTAATATATGGTATTTGATCTAAACATATATATTAATTAATAATAAATTTTTTAACACTTTATTATATCAACAAATTTGTTAATTGATAGGTTTGAGTGTCTTTTTCTTATAATATAAATTAATATTATTTATAAGTATAAGTGATTCTCATTTAATCTCTTTCTATAATCAAGTCTAAGAGAAAATCTGTATCTGATTTTTAAAATTTTGTTAAACATAGTCTGATGCAAAAATTCGAATTATCATATCACTGTTAAATTAAAAAT